ACGACACACAGTTTCTGGTTTAAGGTATGCAATTTGAGACTTACTTCCAAATATATTATTTTCTCAATTTAATTAGGATTTTAGTTTTGTTTCCTTGATTTTTAAATTCTAAACTGATATAATATAGAAAAAAAATTGGGTTCTGTCTCTTAGGCATCTGCAAGATACAATAAAAAATTATCATACTATCTTATAATTTAAATGAAATCGAAATTTCTCTTTAAATCCATGTTATGGTTGCCTCTTCCATCTAATACTCAAATATTGGAACTTTTGGTATAGAAACAAAATAAAAAGTGGTTGAGATGCTGTAACATCTGTGTCAAGGTGCAGTAACTTATGTGCACAATGTGGATTTTTATCTGACTCTTATGTTTTGCATAATAAGTAGCTTTTATGCACAATGGTGGATTTTCATTTTACTCCATTATTTCATGCCTAATTAGTCTTGGTATGGGGAGGAGTATCATTGCTTTAGTGATTTGTTTATCAATGGTTTTTAATCAATCTTTATTTTTTATTCATTTATTCAATATATACTTGCATTTTTGTTCTCATTTACAATACAAATTGTTTCTAGTTTATTATTGCTGGGTACAAATATTAGGGTTCTTCTAAGTTGCATTAAAATTATATTTACAATTTATGTTCATTATCACTTTGGTTTTTGCTAGTAAGTATCTTCAATATTTAATGAGCTCGATATATATTTATGTTCTGCAGTTCAACAAGACACATGGTTATACCTAGTGTGCCAGCTTGTCTTTTTTTGTTTTTTAAATTATTGTAAAATTTTTAGATAGCTATTATATACATCTATGATAAATGTGTTTATGTTTACACATCTATTCAAATATGGTATGTTGATGATTATTGTTGAATAATGAGTACAATTTGTGTCTGTCTCATGGCTGCTTGTTGATTGTCATGTATGTATTGACCTATAAATGGTGTATAATTCAGGGACGGGTTTCGTTCAAGATTAGAAAATATTGTTCGTGGTCAAGCAGGCACCAATCCTGATGCCACATCAAATAGTAACATAAGTGAAACAAGAAGCGATGAGAACCAAGCAAACATTCTGATAGATGACCAACAAGAAAATTATGGACAAGAGCAGATTAGGAGCCTGGAAAATGATGTGATTCAGTTGCCTACTCATACAGGAACTTTGGAGAGTAGCACAAGTGAGACTATTAGTTGGCAAGAAGTTAGTAACCAAGGAGGGAATTGGCAGGATCAAATTACTGAAGATGGGGGAGGAGACTGGCAGCAGAGAGCTTATGGTCCATTCAATCAGCTGAGAGATGGAAGGGAAGTCAGTGATTGGCAACAGGAAACTCCCCAAAATTTAGCTGGGGAGGAAGATCCGCATCCACAGGAAGCTCAAAGAATTTGGCATGAGGATAGTACGAGGGAAGCTGTTGGTAATTGGTCCGAAGGACCTTCTGGAGCTTCAAGGAATCGCCGTGGTGTTCCTTTTAGAAGATTCAATAGATTTCATCCACCCGACGATGATAATGTGTACAGTATGGAGCTTAGAGAACTTCTGAGCAGGTAATTCTTCCCTTTTGGATCTTTTGCCTCATAGATGGCTTCCAGCCTGTTTAGATTACATTTATCCCAATGCCAACAGGCGCTGGGGAGAACAAAATAAAAGGAGTTTCTCTTAAAAGTGTCTCTTTTTCTGCTCAAATGCCTGAAACCGATTCTAAAATCTAAAATAATTGGGCCATTTATTTGTTGAGATTGTACAGAACATTGTTTGATACTTCATTTATTTTTTTTCATTTCTTCTAGGCACCAAGCCATATGATAGTTATGGATTTTTGTACTCATGTTTCAGGAGAAGTGTTTCTAACCTTCTTCGCAGTGGATTCCGTGAAAGTTTGGACCAACTAATACAGTCATATGTGGAAAGGCAAGGTCGTGCACCAATTGACTGGGATTTGCACCGGAACTTGCCAACACCAACTCCTGCCTCACCTGAACGGGACCTTGATCAGCAGGGTGATGAACGCAATGAAGGTCAGCATGAAGCAGTTAACAGACCTTCACTGGTGTTGCCTTCACCACCAGTGCCTCCTCCACAACCATTATGGCACCAAGATTTGCATCAAACTGGATGGTCTCGCCAAAGCATGCATCGATCTGAAATTGTGAGTATTCTTCCTATCTAAATTCCTTATGTACATTTTTTTTTTTTTCATAATATAGCATTTTGAATCCTTGACAAAAATTTTACCCATGGAATTCCATGTAGAATAGTAGTATTTTGCTTCTTTCTGTCATTCTTTGGTGTGCAATCAATTTAGGCTTCTATGCAAAATCATTAGTAGTTGCTACTAAGGTACCTATTGAAGATAGAAAATTATTAAATTTGATTGGGTTTTGGATGTTTATCAAGCCTCCTTCATTATACCTAAATGATTATGAATATATTTCATAAAACATCCAAGCAGCCCCGAGTTGCATCCAATAAATTTTAGTAAAATGAGAAATTCTAAGTATTTTTAAAGCTCTGGGCCTCTGGCTACTCTATCATTTGAAATCTTTGTTGTCATTCAGGACTTGACTCTTGATATACCTTTCTGACTATAGGTCAACGTATTTAACTTTTCTCTCTCTTTCATTTCTCTGGAGTTCTTTCCTCTGCCCAAATGCTTTTCATACTTATGTGTACTGTCATATGCCCTTTTACTATATTTTATTAAAATCCTTTCTAAAGTACTGGTATTGGATGCTGATTGCGAGCAGGAGTGGGAGATAATGAATGATTTAAGATCAGATATGGCAAGACTTCAGCAAGGCATGAATCACATGCAGAGGATGTTGGAGGCCTGCATGGATATGCAACTGGAGCTGCAGCGTTCTGTCAGACAGGAAGTCTCTGCTGCTCTGAACCGCTCAGCTGGTGAAAATGGTGCGTGTTCTTTTTCAACCTTTCCTCATTGCAAATATGTCGCGTCTTGTGCTTTGTATGAAGGGCTTTATTCTTTTGATGATAGTGCGGCTGTTTTGGTTGCATTTATCTAAACTTTTGTTAATTATTTGTGTTTATCTTTTTTGTTTATTCATTCGTATTATATATAAATTTATGTTATAGGATTAGGTGCTGAGACATCTGATGATGGGTCTAAATGGGGGCATGTGAAAAAAGGAACTTGCTGTGTTTGTTGTGATAACCATATCGATTCGCTTTTGTACAGGTATTTATACAGTATACACTAACAGTTTGTGCTGATGAACAAAATACAACCCCATATTTTATGTGGGGATCTGTAATTTATATTGATTACTCTTTCTGAACAATGGTTTTATTTCTTGATTTGTTTCTTTCTTTCTCCAAATTGCAATTTCTTGCAGATGCGGACACATGTGCACTTGTTCAAAATGTGCTAATGAGTTAGTTCGTGGTGGAGGTAAGTGTCCTTTATGCCGAGCACCAATTGTTGAGGTGGTCCGAGCATATTCCATACTGTAAAAAAAGGAGGTTAAAAGGACATGGAAAAGAAAATATCTGAGGGAACTAATATCGGTTGTCGAAATCTCGAGGTTCTTATTTATAAGCGTTCAGTAGATGCCTTTGTTTTTCTGATTATATATGGAACACCATGAATTGTATAATTGGACTAGCAAATGGCGCTGTTGATTCATCATTCTTGCGTATATAAATAGTTGGCCTTATTATTCTTTCTATTTTTTTTGTTTTTCTTTTATAATAGGTCTATAGTATATATGTATATTGAAAATTCCGAGCTTGTATATGGAAATAAAAACAGAACTCCAGAAAAGGAGCCTGTCATTCTATACCTATATATTTTGGCTCAAATAATCACAAATAATAACTAATTTTATTTCTCTTACGGTACGGTACATCTTTTACCAGGGTCTTTTTCTCAAATAATTCTTGATTGGCTTTGGCGTCTAAACGTTGTTCGGTTTCGCATGTTTTTGGTGTCTTTAAATGGTTAATTGCTCATGGGATTAATATTTTTCATGTTATACGAGATAATTTTATTTTCTACATATATATAAAAATATATGGAATTATGTGAAGAGAAAAAAAAATGTGCTTCATATATTTTTATGTATGTATAAGATATAAAATGATCTCTTATAATGTATGAAATACTAATCTCATTGTTTATTTCTAAATTGTAAAGGAGAGAAGTTTTTTCTTCTTCACACGCAAGAGACATGTGAGGTCCATTGAAAAAGGAAAAAAATAAAAAAGTAGCTTCTTTTGTGTGCAATAGAAGAAATTTCTCTGCTTTTAACAGAGAGAAAAGTTTAACCCTTTTGTTATTATAGGAACTACATACGAAAGGTTTATATACTACAAAAATAAATTGTAATAAATATTATAGTTATCTTGTTTTTTTTTTTTTTTTTTTAATTTCTCCTCTCGAAGTAGACGAATTTGTTCATTTGAAGATATTGTTGATCTTGGCTATCAGTTGATTCGAAATTAGGGCTTCCCTGAAATCTAGTTTACTCGCCCATTGAATGGTCAATTCATTACGGCGATCATTAGCCATATGTTTAACTTATTATTCCCTTGCTTTAGCTTGAAGATTTTATTAATTTAAGTACTACCAAGCAGAACATTGATCTGTTTTTTATTACAATAAATCGAAGGAAAAAATAATAAAATTTTGGAGCAACTAAATTAATTGTAGAATAAGTGTACAGATCTAAAGCTATTTGATTGTCACCTTACCTAAGCTAAAGCTAATTTCTTGTGTACTTATTTAACAAGGTGATCTTGGGAAATGGTTTTGTGGAGGATCGCAACGTCATAATAGAGTTTGGTTTTGGATATTGATGTGCAAGCTATAAGAAGGATAAGAAATGGAAATTATTATATAGCCAGAGTTTTCTCGCCAGGATTTTTTCTGGAATGTGCCGATGTGGAATTTCGAATGAATGAGCCGTCCCTGCTACTTTAACTTATTCATGAATCTTTATAAATTCCAGTTAAATTCTATTAAATAGTTCTAGCTGACTAGCTGTGTAACGTTGCTCCAAAGAAATTTTAATAAGTTAAAAACGCAGGAATAAAGTGGTGGCAATTAAAGGGGAGAAAACTGTTGGTGTAAAGGAGAAAGAGAATATGGATCCCCTGCAATTTTGAAAGAACTACCAGGATTGCAGTTTCATAGACATGAAATAAGTTTCTATGACTTGAAAACTCCTACAATTGTAGTCATTGAGATCAAGAAAAGTTTAAATCAGCCACATTCCTATGACTTGTACATCAAAACAAACAATGAATAAAGAGACTGGTGTCAGTGTAAACAGTAATTATACCAGCTTGGGACATTGTTCTGTCAGAAGCTTGTTGTGAGTAACATTGTAAGGATGTGGCAATAAGAATGGCCTGTCATTGGATTTGATACTACTGCAGCTATCCTCTTTCTGCAAGTGGAAGCCAAAGTTATGAATCCCATTGTCTTCTAGTGGATCAAAAAAAAGTTGAGAATAAGTTACTTGTACATACCTGTAAGAGCTTCAAATCATCCTGGGAAGTAGTTGAAGTACTACAATCTTTGGCATTATGTTGGTCTTGTGTTACATCTTTCTCTTGTTTCAGCTTTTCTTCGAGATCTTTAAGTTTCTTCTGGCACTCTTCATTCTCTTCCTGAATGGCATCTTTCTCCCTTAGTAGCTCACCATTTGCTCTTGTCATTTGGGCAAGTTCATACTTTAGCAGAGCCTTATTTCGTGTTGAAGCTTCTTTTGTGGTTAGATTCCATTCCAGTCGCAAAATTTTTTCCTCAAGCTCAACTTTACTGTGCTTGCAGTCCTCCAATTCTGCTGTAACTTTCTCAATCGTTGAGATTCTTCGAATGTAAGATATTTTCTTAGCTTTCAGCTCTTCATACTCTAAGGATAGCATCTCATACGAAGCTTCCAGTCTTCTGTATTCATATTCTGCTTCATATAGTGATCTCTTAAGGACGAAGAGTTCATCTTGAAGCATTTCTGTTTTCTGAAGTTGAACTTCTAATTCAGAAATTTCTTCTGTTGCTTGTAGCCTCTCAAGTTCAGAGGCTTTCAGCTCCGCCTCAAGTCCTGTAACAATGTTCTTCAGTTTCTCTTCATTTGATTTGACGTTTTCCAACAAAACAACTACTTTTTCATGATTAACCATCAGAGTTTCTTGGTTTGCCCTGGTAGCAGCTAGCTCTTCTGTATAATTTTGCACCATTACTTCATATTCTGCTGCAATATTATCAAGTTTGGTTTCATGTAGCTGTACTTTCTCCTGTTCTTCTTGAAGAGCAGCTTCAAGCATAGCTTTATCAGCACATAAATCATAGACCTCGAGTACAATATTAGAAGCTATCCTCTTGTGTCTATCATAGATGCCAGACATCTGGTGTCTTAGGTATTCAACCTCGCTCAGCAAGTTACCTACTTCAGCTGTTTTCTCCAAATACATCTGTGTTAAATATCTTTCTTCCATATTATACCTTTCATCTTGCTTTTTGCTTTCCTGAAGAAGTGCATCTAGGTCTACATTTATGGTTTTTTCTTTCAAAGCAATTTCTTCCAGCATTGAAGTAAATTTGTATTCCAAGTCTTCAACTTGTTTCAACATACCAGAAAATGCAATTTGTGATTCCCCTAGTTTAGATTTCAATTTTGTACATTGGTTATGCAACTCCAAGTTTTGCATTCTTAACTCAACATTTGTTGTCTGAAGAGTTTCAGATTCTTTAATCAATTTTTCATTTGTACCTTGTAATTCTAAGTTGGCTACTTTCATAAAACTGCACTCCTCTTGAGCTTCTAACCATTTTTTCTGCATGCTCTCTTCCTTTCTTTTCATATCAGCTATTTGTGCCTCATTTTTAGTTTCCATTCTCCTGATCTCAGCCTGGAGATTTATGACAACAGTTTCAGAGTTCTCCAGCGTCAAATGAGTTGACTCCTTTTCTTCAATCAAATTTCTTATTTCAGCTTCCAAACAAACTATCTGTTCTGATAACGGCACATTTTCTGCTTCTAGTTCAAACAAAGCATTTTGTTCATCATCTGAACTTTCCAACTCAGATAAATTCTTTACATCATCCTTGTTGACTAGAGTCTCGGAATCCTTTGTCCAATCAGGAACTTGGGTTTCCAGTTCTAGCATGGAATACCTTGCACTGGAATTTTCCTTCCCTAGCAGATTATCAGATTTCAGCTTGTTGGTCTCTGCAGATTCAACCATTTGATTTTCAGTCAGCTGTATAAATTCGGATACCAGTTGTCCATGAATATTTCTCAATTCCTGACTAGAAATGCAGAATATATTTTCATTTAGACTGCAATCTCTTATTTCATTCTGCAACTCATTATCATCTCTGATTCTTTTCCTGACCAACTCATCATGAGAATTAATCTCATACTCAAAGGAAGTAGCCTTTGTTTCAAGCAACTTCTTTAACAGTATAATGGTACACAGGATTGCTTCTGTCAATTCCTTTAAATCTATTTTACCTGCATTTTTTGAAAGATCTGACGTACTGAAACTCTCATTTTTGGTGAGTGTCGTTTGACCAAGATGAGAATCTTGACCCTTCAGGTTTTCTACCGAAAGCTGAAGCTGCTTATGTAAGTCGAGGAATACTTCAGTGATGTTGATAGCAGTATCAGAGTGAAACAGCGGAAAGTTGGAAGAAAAGGAACCAGACATGATAAGATCCTTTCTGGAATCTCCATGCTCCACACCAAATTCAGCTTCAAGATCTTGCACCCTTTGTTTTAAAGCTAAGATTTCATTGCCAAAAGCATAAACACCATCAGATAACTTCTTTTCAAAGTTGGAAATTTGTTTCCTCCATTTTGCCTCATTTTGCTCCAAATTTTGAGCCATAAAACGTCTTTCAGTTTGCTTCTCTTGATCTTTCTCATCCATAGTTTTCTGCAGAAACTGGATAGTACTTTCCATGTTCTTTTGTTTCTCCTGCATAAGTTGGTGCTCAAGCTCCAAGTTCCAGAATTCCTGTAGTTCAATCCCCTCATGCAGGCATCTTATTGCATTTTCATTAGTACTAAGATCAACACCTGAATGACAAAACTCCTTTCTCATTTTCTCTGGTAAACTTTCTTTGCTCAAACTGAAGTCCTCTTCCTCACTGTCTTCAAGCCCATGGCTATTATTTTCGGCATCTTGAAACTGCAAACTAGTCATAGATAGATCAGCAATCTCCATTTTCTGCTTCTCTATTGTCTTTTCTAATTTCCGGAGATTGGAAACAAGATCAATGTTTGACTCCTGTGTTTTCTTAAGCTTCAATTCCAAGCCACTATTTAGTCCTTTCTGATATTTGATCTCATCTTTCAACTCCTTTATGATATTATCCATCTCTTCTATCTGAAACTCAAGATTTCTGCTGTTATTTTGTTTCACCATGGTGGTTAGTCGATGAATTTCTTCCTTGAATCCATCATTCTCTTCACGTGATGCTAATAACTCCATTTCAAGATCTTTTTTATTCTTTGACTTCTTCTTTAACTCCTTTCGCAGATTCTCCACATCAATCATCAGCTTTCTAGCATTTTCTTCCCACAACTTTCCTTCACCATGAAGTAACTCGATTGTAACTTGTGCTGCACCAAGGAGATCTTTAGATGAACTAACACTCCTTGTCAATGTTGAGTCACTGGCATGCGAAACTTTCTCAAAGTCTTCGATTTTATCTTGCAGCTGTGCCCCTAAACTTGATGTTACTCTAGTAGAGGATGAATATATTGATCTGGAGGTATCATAGAGATAGGGGCCATTTGTAGAGTAAGTTGAATCTTTTCTCAGATTCAGATTGTTCTTCAATCCACTGACATTACTTTGTTGGGGAAACTTTTCAATCCAAAAGGAAAAGGAACTCTCCAAAGAGTCAACGTCATGATCTGAAAATGTTGCCAGTGGACTTATTTTCTGTAACATCAGAAGGTGATTTTATTGTCTTGAAAGATAGCCAAATTTAACTTTTAACACTAGGGGAAATAAGAAAAAAAAGAAAATGATAAGTTGCTTAAACTATATGAGGTATATGCATGATTAGGACCATTAAAAAAATAAAAATTACAGTGGGATCAGGTGTATGTATAAAAGGCTAATTGCGCAAAAGTAGCAATACAATCTTCATACCTTATTGCTAGGTTCTCCTCGATAATATCTAGTTTCCAATCGGTCACAATGTGAAGATCTACTAGTCCTGCTGAATGTATTGTCTGATGCATCGGATATACAGTCTATGTTATCATAGCCAACACTCACTTCCTCCAAATATGAATTTGCATCCCTCCTGTAGTATACCTTTGGAATGAGTGCATGTTTCATTATCATAAGCATACATAAAGTTAAAACAGAAAAAAGTTATTCCATAAACAGCAAACCTAGTTTTTATTCTTGGTGCCAAGCACTGAATTTTAACCTGAAAAAAAAAGAAAAAGGATAGGCTTTTTAACAATTGTACAAAAACTTAGGTTCTACTTCGTACAGCTGAAAGCGGGACAGTGGAAAATTGTCCAGTTGAAAATTTGGAATGCTAATTCTCTCCACTTACTTAGTAAAGGAAATATTAGGGTGTGTTAGGTGGGGAAGGTGAAAATCCTTATTACTTGGTTGAAAAAGTGGATTACAAACATAAAACTTTTCTTACACCAAGCATTATAGAAAAGGTACATTTGGAAAAGTTTTGAAAAAAGAACATTAATATAATCTGATAAATTTTGACAAAAATCATTTATAAACTTTTATCAAATAGCTTAGGTTTTGGGAGAGTTTCCCTTCTTTTTTTGAATACAAGTGAGAATTGAACACATAATTAACCTAATACAACCTACCCAAACTCCTCATCACTAGACCAAACCTAGTGGCTTGGAGAGTTTCCCTTCGATACCAAGCAGAGTGTAAGACAATTTGCATTCGAAGTTTTAATTTAGTTCATTTTTCATTTTCCCAATTTCAGCTGAACCCCCGCAAGCCTTGATTGCAGGGAAATTGTAGGCTATAATTTATTATTAACTTCGAAATCTAAGTAATATATGGCATGATTTCAATATTACCAGTAGAATGGTATACCATGACTTTAATATAAACCTTATGCAAATTGAATCCATTTCATCAATGATTTGTTCATGAGTTGAACAAATTAAAAACACAATGATTTTACATTACTGAATCATCTAAACAAGCCTCTAAGCTTTTAACTTCTGTACATTCATATGTGAATTGAGACAACCCAACCTTGAATACCTTGCAAATGACTTTGATTCTTCGTCCTTTTTATTGAAGCATTTGCACATTAGATTCGATGTAGCGCAACTATGCTTACCCATTACTTATTCATATTAACTGCTCGCTGGTGTTTTTGCGTTACCACTTAATCCATCTAAGTTTGTTTCTAACATATTGTTTACTTCCATTCATTACACCTCCCTCCCTCTCTCTCTCTCTCTCTCTCTCTAACTTAAACCTTAAAAGCAAAATTTGTCTCTAACATGTTTAAGGAAATAATTGTTTAACACCTAAGAATTGCCTGGAAGAAAGAAAACCTATAGTCAAATGCAAATTAAATCGTTAGTTGACTATGGTTTGGGGATAGTGTTGTATTATTCTTATTTAATCTTCTAAATGTTTTATGTGTAAGTTGAACAGAAACAGAAGTCTTACTTGTAAGATTGTCCCATGGGAACAATGTTGTTTCAAAGGCAAGGATGCAGTAGAAGTTTCTGGCCTAATGTAACTTGCTAAATTAATGGTGGCCTCACCAAGGGTCCCAAACCTGGCTGATCCCTATAACAACAATGCCATTTGACACATTTCAGCATGAGTAAGTTAACATAGGGAATATTAAATAAACAAAAGAAAATCTGAAGTTTTGTGATACATAATCAAGCAAGAATTGGCCAGAAAATAATTAAGCAATAAAGGTAATGGACAGACCATGGAAATAACAAGCTTAAGGAGGAAGCCTTCATTTTCTTTTAGAGAATCATCAGAAATCCATATAGTACTGAACATAGAGTCTTCCCATTGACACTGTCCATTTTGTACTAATGCTTTGCCAGACTTGGCTATAGTTTTCCCCGTTTCCATAGAAATAATAGAGACAAAAAGCTTGTTCCACCCATTTTCTACCTGCATAATAACAATAATAATAAAAAAATGTGCAAAAATTTAATGCCAACCTCAACTAGTTTGCAATAAAGATGATGATGTAGTTATTCTAGTTTGTAGGTAGTGGAGAACTACCGTCAATGGGTTAAGCGACTTAACACTACATGTCAACCAAAAACCTTAAGATATTAGATTTATGAGTCTTTTCATTTCTATCGCTCTCGTTTAGTCCATTTCTAATTAACGTGGGGCTTCATTACTTGTACTTGAATTTGGAATTCCCAATATAGTTTTCACTATCCAACAATTCAAAACAGCCAAAAGGTAGACAGACCTTAGCAGTCAATCTCATCCCACAAGTAAATGATACAAATCAAGTTACCATATGATTTCTCTCAGTGTAAATGTAGATTTTTTTTTTTTTTTTTGGAAAACTGTTTTATATAGTGATCTCCTAATCAAGTTCTATCTGTCTTCATTTCATTTTTCAAATGGAGTTTCTAATCTGCTGGCAGATGGCCTTCCTGAAGAGTACATGAACTGTTTTAATGTATGCCATAAACCCACGAGGCAAAGATGAATTAATGAACATGAGTCGTTTAACAACTAGAAAAGACAAAAAAAAATAAGAGCATTTAGAGCAGTGAATGAAGTGTAGCTGGCAAGTCTCTCAATAGAGTGCTATTAGTCAAAGTGGTAGCGAGACTTCATATCAGTATTTCCTACACAAATACCTGCACATCCCTGAGCTTTGTTTAGGTTATTATTTCTTATAGTTTGCAATTCACTCATACACATAAGGAAAAAAGGAAGAAACCAACTCCCATATTACCAATGAAGAAAATGATAGTCAAGAACATTAAGAGGTACCCTTAATATTATCTTTTCAAATCATAAATATCAATTATAAAATTACAGTTCTGCCGGCCTTCTGATTTTATGAGGACAAATGTCATTGTTCATCTTAACTTGTCCCCACCCCAAGATCAAAGGTGAAAAATAAATCCAAAAATGGCCATTTGACTCTATAAAAGGAAGCTAGTCCAAAATTATCTGTCAAAAATTCACCCTGGTAAAATCTGAATTTGAAGTCAGCACTCTTAATTACAAAAACAATTTTTCATTGTGAAGTGGCAAAAATGACCTACTCAATACTATACCAATAGCCAATTTATGACTTAATGAAAACTTCTTTGACATTAAGCTTGTAAAATGGAGAAACAGTTTCTAGAACTTGGTACATTTATTTAGCAAATAAAAGAACCAGCATAATAACAAACTAAAGAAAAAAACCAGAGTGCATAATCATCTCACCCAAGAAAAAGATACTTTCAACAGTTACTAGTATGTATATTTAGATCATGGAATGGAAATGATGATGCCAAAAGAACTTGAAATTAAATAATTGTAAAGATGAAGGTCATTAAGAGAGAGAGAGAGAGAGAGATAAGAGTAGGAGATAAACCTCAAAAGCCTGAAAGTCATAGAACTTGAAATCCATTCTCTCCTGAAATCTATCTCTGCAATGCCTATTCAAATGGCATGTTTCCCTCTTTCCTTTTCTATCCTTGAATTGTTTCTCATTATCGTAATAGACTTCATCACTGTCACGTTGAATCATACCATTTGCTTAGAAATAATGAAAAGTACCGTACGTGCTTGAATTGTTAGTTAATGTTGCTCGGTGTTTAATGAGTTCTTCCATATATTTAGTTCTTTTGTTTTAGAAATGATTTCATGAAGAATGATCTAAGAAAATGAACAAATATTATCGTTATCTTATTTTGTAATAAAATATTTGCAAATGTTCGTGTTAGAGTTATTATGGTACATATAAAAGGGTTAACTGTTTCTCCTGGTGTTGTTGGAGAAACAATTAACCTTCTTGCATATACATAGAACTTTGCATCAGCTTTTTATTTTTTTATTTTTTTTATTTTAAATGGTGAATCCCACTTATTTATGTCTCAGCAAGAAGCCATGCTTCTCTCTTTAAAAAAAAGAGAGAGACAATATCATTTAAAAAAAGAGTGATAATATTATCAAAAAAAGTTGTAGTGTAATATAAAGCTTTTATATGTGGTCATGAATTCTCATTCTTTTTAACTTATTATGATTTCTATGCATCAATTTACAATCTTTGTGGATGTGGGTGTGTATTGTATTTTAGAAATAAGAAAAGAGAATTTTACCTTGACATGGCCATTCCAATTCTATATGCACTGCAGAAAGAAAAGTGTATATGGTTTCCACACTGATCAGTGCAATGTGAATGATGTTGATACCCCAAGAGATATGTAACATATGAAAAGAAACACAATAAGTACTATATATATGGTGCTATGCTAACCAACCCCTGTTTCTTTCATTTTTTTCTCTCTCTCAAAAACCCCTTTTATTTCTATTAGACCGCAAGAACTTGAGAAGGTACTTTTGGAAGTCATTAATTGAATAATGAACTCAAGATGGGGAGTACCTTTAATTTTTTATGCTCATGCGGTCCAATTATATAAGTTTCGGTCAATTACGTAAGTTTCTTCCTTTTCTGCTTTTCATTCCTTTGAAGGATCTAGGGAATAGACTAAAAAAAATTGAATAGTTGCCGAGCATATATGTTGTACTCTGAATTGTGTCTTAAACCTCATTTGTAAGTTGTAACTATCACATATACTATAAACTGAGTATAAGTTATTAGGTAAAGTGTATATAATTTTAAAGGATGTAAAGTTGTGTTATTTTAAGAGAGAGAAAGAGATAGATAAATGAGGAGAGAGAGTTGACAAAAAAAACAAAGGTGTGGGTCCTACTTTTTTGTGAGAGTAAAATGATATAAATTATGTCATTTAAAATGATAAACATTTTTTCCTGAGTTTATTTTAAAAATTAAAAAGAAAATATTGGTGGTAATAAATTAAGCATTGAGTTGCTTTGAAATAGCTACCCCTTACAATGTGATAGATATATTAAAAAAAATTACCGTATTGAATTATGTTAAACAGTGTTTATAGTATTTCACTATTTTGAGATTTTTGATAAAATAATTAAATTTTATAATAGAATAACTACACTTTTGTGTAATTACTCTGTTGTAAGGTGTAGTTATCTAAAGGATAATTTTTTTTGGTAACTAAAGGACATTTTTAAAAATAAATAAATAAACGTTACACCTAATTAAACAAAACAAAATAGTACCGAAAATGACACAATAACTTGTACTCCCAATTATATGTAAGAGGAGGTCTGAATAAAAAATCTTGTACACCTGGATTCCGTGTCTGAAATTTAAGATGGCAAATTGAGGAATAAATTACAATTTATTTAATCATGAAAGAATAAGATACAATCTCCCTTCGTGTGTTCTTTTTTTTTTTTTTTTTTTAACAAAAATAAGAAATCTTCTATATAATTCAATCTCCTATCGCTTCATAAAGGGAAATATTGAAGGTATTCACAGCAATCTTGTTTGATAGTTGACCTTGACGTTGTTGAAGGTTTGATTTGACTCTCTTCTTCCCTTGAATTCGATGAATGATTTTCTTGACGATCTTGCTTAATTAACCAGAAATCTAAAAACCACAACCTTAAAAATGAATCTCTTCATAAAAAAATTTCGACAAAGTTTTTCCTAAAATTAGAGACTCGACATAATTTTAAAACAGATGTCACATCAACTTAGACATCCATTTAGGGCACAAAAAACATAAGGCAAAGCAATAGGGTTTAACTTCTTTAATTTCAATACAATGTTTTTTAAAAGGAAAAAAAAGTATCTAATGTTACTTTAGATAACTTTGTCTAATGTTCATCGAAACGACGTCGTTTTGGAGTTGAAAAATTAAAAAATTAGAATGATAAAAACTATTATAACCCTGAAATAAATTAAAATTACTAAAACACCTTAATTTTCGTCCCAAAACGACGTTGTTTCGATGAACATTAGATAAAGTTATCTAAAGTAACTTTAGAAAAAACAAACTCTTTTTAAAATCATGAGAATTAATTCATGAAAACAATTAGATATAAGTAACATCAATTATTAATGTATAAGAATTTTTATTCATATATCCGTATAAGTTGATTCCTTGTATACATATATATTAATATTATGTGTGTGTAAATTTCAGTATATATTATTTCATTTAATTAAATATAATATAAAATAGTTTTACTGAGAATAGAAATAATATTTAATATTATATGACATAGTTATTTTTATAAAAAAAATTAATTTTATAAAGATTTTTTTTTTTGTAAGCAATTTTATAAAGATTTATACTTTACTTATTCACCTCTTCATCATTATAATATTATTCATATTCATAGAATAAAATTTTAATTTGAATTATTAAAATATTTATGATATTAACAATATATCTATAAAAATTAATATATTTATATTACAAATAGCTTTCTGTGTATTTCAATTGAAACACGATTCATGTATCAAAATAAAAATAAAAATTCAACCACGATTCAAACATTATAGCATGGATTAATCCTTTCATCATTTCAATGATGTTTCCAATTCAAACTCCTGGTGTAGAGGGAAATTAAAGTCAACCAAAACAAAAATATTCAAAAACACAGGCCTTGTTTGATTTCTGTTTTTGAAAATGATTTTTGTTTTCCAAAACAACTTTCTGATTTCACAAACTAAACACAAAAATAAATTGTTTGCATACCTATTTTTTATTTGATTGTTTTAAAAACTTGGTCTTCATAATTTATTTTTAGAATAAAAAGATTAAAAACACATTTTGACTATTCGTGGTTAAAAAAATTTCGGTTAAGAAAAAAGATACAAAGTCATGCAAAATAATTTCTACCATACTTAAGCAACTAATAAATTTATTTAATTGATAATTTTATTTTCAAGGTATTTGAATTTATTTATGAAAAAACATATTTGTGAAGTATTTTGGTAGAAATAATTTCATTCTATTTAAATGAGCTAATTAAATTTTTTTAAAACACATAACTTGTTTTGGACTTATTATGTAGACTATAAATCGGAAATCGGATAAAATAGTCTTTACAAAAGTTAAAAATAACTTAAGATCGTTTATCCAAGAAATAATTTACTTAGTTTAAATTAACAACATTTATAACAGGAACTTATTTAACAAGTTTTAGTGAATAATAAAAATAAATGTTTAACTTAATCGTGGCAATAGATCCTAAGTTGAAGATGACCCCTCTCTCATTGCATTCTTAATTGCAGCTGCCAATTCATCGTAGGCTACTTCCCAAGAATTCCTCAATTCCTCACTCCATTTGTCGCCCACCGCTTCCTTTATTGTTTTCAGCAGTGCTTCTTTAACCACCTACAAATCATTATCTTATGGTTATAGCTCTGATAATTTTTCAAAATAATGAAATTTTAAAATGAAACTTTCAAAATAATAATGTTATTTCTATTCTTATTTTTTGTAAATGAATCTTAATTTGAAAAATATTTAATTAATAGAATAATTGAGAAACAAGAAAAAATAATTCATCACTAAATATTAAATTAGAGTCCACTTTCATGAAAGTAGTTAAACCTCTTAGTGTACTTTTCCTTAAAGAATGAAAATGTCATTATTAATTTCTATCATTTAAAAGTTTAAACTCGAATTATTTTGAATTAATATTATATATATTATTAAGTATTTTCCTTAATTTTTTATTTACAATTTATTTTTAATTTTTGTTGAATTTTAAAATACATATAAAATATATAAAGGGGTAAACATTTCTACAGCCACTTTAGATAAGGTTATTTACAGCTACCATTTTTAACTATGTTCTCCCGGGAGAACATAGTTAAAATATTAAAGTTACTTTTTTTTTTCTCTACTCAGTTACTTTTCAGAACTTGTTTGCTGACGTAGAGTAAAAAAGCAACTTTAATGTTATAACTATGTTATCCCGAAAGAACATAGTTAGTTGTAGATAACCTTATCTAAAGTGGCTGTAAAAATATATTTTCCATATATATAATACTCATTAGTAGGTGAGCACTGTAATAGATAATAAAGAATATTAATAGTCCCTTCCTTAAATAACTTATAATAATTTACCTTAGTTATTTCTTTCCTTTTTTATTTCAAATTTTAAACGAAAAATGGAAGAAAGGTGGTTATTTATTGCATTTCTGAATCTCATTGCCTGCACGGACACGGGACACGACACGACACGCTGACACGTTAATTCTAAAAATTGTCATATTTCGACACGTTGAGACACTTTCATATTTAATACATATAAAAATTCATAATAAGTCATATAACCAATCAAATATTTAAATTTCATAACATAAATATAAATAATTTTTCGTATTTTGTTAATTTTTTATATCAAATTTCATAACAGAAAAAAATTAATTTATAAATTATTTCTTTTACATTTAGTTAACAAAATAAAATTAAGATTTTTTTTTTAAAAAAAAAAGTGTCTGAGCGTGTCCAAGCGTTGACTGCGTGTCGAAAAAAGTTGACTGCGTATCGGAAAAATGTGTCGGAACATGTCGAAGAGTTGACCGCATGTCCCCATATGTTGACCGCGTGTGGAACGCGTGTCCGAGCGTGTCAGAGTGTGTCCGTGTCGGACACGTGTCTGAAGGGGTGTGCATGGAGCGGTTCGGTTCGGTTATTGTCAAAAACCAAACCAAACCAGTTTTAAACGGTTTGGATTTTAAACCGAATCACTTTTTTTTAAAAAAAAAAAAACCGGTTTTTAATTTGTCCAAATCGGTTTAAAACCGATTTTAAGACCGGTTTGTGGTTTATAACCGGTTTTAAATCAAAACCGGTTATGAACCATAAACCAGTTATCAAGTTCAAAACCGATCTTTTAACAAATTGAAAATCGATTTTTGATGGATTGTGCTATTTTTATAAGTAGTCGTTTGTTTCTCCTAGTTATAGTAGTTGACCAACTATTTCTTGCAAGAATCTTCATTGTTTTGGAACTCTCAGGACGAAATGATTCTTATAGAAATTGTTCACGTTTTACGGAAAACTTTTCAATCAAAATTTTCTGCAAAAAATTTTGATGCAAAATATTTCCATCAAAATTTGACGGAAAATTTTTTGTCGAATTTTTTTACGGAATATAAATTTTGTCAAAACACTTCCCTAAAAATATTTCATAAAAAAACATATTCATCGAAATTTTTGACGAAAAAATATTTCTATCAAAATTTTCCTTGAAACACATTTCCTTCGGAAACTTTTGACGGAAAAAAATTTCATCAAAATTCTTTACAGAATTCAAATTTCGTCGAAAATTTTCGACGGAAACATTTTCGTTAAACTTTTTGACAAAAAAAATTTCGTCAAAATTTTCAATGGAATACATTTCTATGAAAAAATTTTATGACGAACAATATTTTGATAAAAATTTTTGACCAAAATATTTTTCGTCAAAAAATTTTCGTCAAATTTTTTTACGTATTGTAAATGTTTTTTGTTGAAAATTTTGCTGGAAATATTTTTTGTCGAAAATTTGGACGGAAATATTTTCCGTAAAATAATTTGACGAAATTATTTTCTGTCATTTTTTTTTATGAAAATGTGTTTCGTCAAATTTTTTTACAGAATTATTTTTCGTTGAAAAGTTTGACAGAATTGTTTCTGTCGAAAGTTTCGACGGAATTTAGATTCTATCAAGAACTTTGACTGAAATATTTAATCCCTCCAAAATTTATGTCAGTGATTATCTTGTTCCGTCTCTAGTTTTGACAAAAAATGCAGTTTCATATGAAATCGATTTTTGAAAATAACCGATTTTTAAAATGTGGAGCAGTTTGGTTATGGATCGGTTTGGTTCGTTTAGACATTTTGCACATCCCATCCGACACGCAAAATTTTCAATTTGGAGCGTGTCCGTGCTATCCAGGCCCCATATATGTAAAATTTAATAAGTTTGCAAAATTTATTTGTAATTATCATACCTCGAAATGAGAATCAATGACTCCTTTGTTGATGTGGATACAACTCAAATACTTTAACGTGGTATCTGCCACTATAGCTCTTTTTTCTCGAAGTCGAATGGCTGTTTCACATGTCTACAATTCTTAAAATATCATATGACATGGTAGTCATGACAAAGAAAAATAAAAAATAAAAATCAGAAAATGCTAATAGCTAGGATACAATACAATGGCGACATGACAAAAACAGGATCTAAAAGCCTAATATGATATTCTGATATGTTAAAAAAATTAAATACAAAATTAATATAAAACACGAATTCGAAGTACCGATATTTAAATGGTAAGCATTATTTTATACTCATTCTTAAAACAAATCTTAAGCACTTGTACTTGTAACTGGTCTTTACTTGAATATTCTTTTGAGATCACATATTCATAGAAGTACAAGAGTTTCAAATTAAGAAAAATATAAATTATAAATTATCAAATATTCATTGGTATTATAAGAATATTGGATGCATGTACATATGTAACACTACGTTCGTTGTAGAAAATAAAAATAAAAAGTAAAGAAATTAATTTTTTTTTTTTTTGGATACAGAAATTAAATTAAATTTATAATCATATAAAATATCTATAATTTTATGTTGGATCGTATTTACCATCTCGAAAACCTTTACAGCATGGAACTGGAGCTTAGTGTTATTCTGGGGTATTTCATCATAATCCCTTAGAAATGAGAACATGTCTTTTGTGGCTGGTGAAATCTCCAATATCCTATTCTCAGTTAAACAAAAGACCAAAGAGAATTAGGCTCACACCATCTCTTTTCAAAACACAACAAACAATAAAAAAATGAAAAGTTAAAGTGAAAGACATTGAGAGGGAAAACTTACAAGGTAAAGAAACGAATGCTATAGTGAGTAATGTTTTGTACCAATTCTTCGTATGAGCTCTTCACTAAACCCTCTTGTCTCTCAGTGAAAACACCCATATCCCTTTTTTTCCTTTCTATTATTTGTATTCTCCAATCCAACAATTTTGAACCCCAGAATTTTGTTTACATAGGAATTGAAGCCTAGAAGATCAGCTTAAGCTAATTTCCGTTATTGTTATTGAAACGTATCTCTTTGCTTGTGGTGGGTGACAGTTGGCATGATTAAGAGATAATAATTTTTTCAAAGAATTAATAATTCGAAATATTTTTAAAACTTTAAATGGTAAAATAATTTGTCTTTTCAGTTTTCCATGTAATTAACATAATTATTAATCTAAAATCTTAGATGATGCTCTCTTCACATTTTTTTTCTTTTTGTAATTAATTTTGTTAAGACTCTTTTGAAAAAAGGAAAAAAATCTAAAGTTTTAGAAAATATAACAGTTTTTTAGAAAGAAAATAAAATGAAATATTGAAGAGATTACGTGCGGAGGCATCTCACTAAATAAATTTGGACAACGACACAACAAAATATGGGCATTAACAGGGGAGGATTTTTTATGTAATTTTTTTTATCAATTATATATATTAATAAATGTTGATTTATGTTAAACAATGCACGAAGGGTAATCACCAAAAAATAAAAAAGTGAATATTATTAAAAATACAGAATATAATATATTGAGAATTCAAAAAGCATTTATTTTATCTTTTCAAGTAATTAAAACAAATTAACTATAAATTTTAAATGTTCCATAACAGATGCTTTTAAACATTTGTTGACGATATTCATGTTATAATTTTTATGTTAAGTAATATATAATTTTAGTCTTATATATTTAATATTTCATATGTTGGGATTTAATAGTAAGGATTTTGCTATCAAATATCTTAACAAATATTTTGAGAGCACTTGTTAGCAAAATCTTTAAAATAACACTGTGTTACTTATAGTTTACTTAATGTACGTAACTTTGTCCACCAAAAAATAAAGGGATTTATTTTTCTTATTTTGCATAAGATAATAAGAGCAATGCTCCTACACTCACAAAAGGAAGAGAGAGGAGAGAGAATAAGAAAAAGAGAAAAAAATTTAAAGTGGATTCCATGTAAAAATTTATTTGTGTAAGAGGATTGTTTTATATTATGTAACGTAAGAAAAACAATCCCAAAAAATAAATGTACGTAACTTCTATATAATAAGTTTAAACAAAAATCTCTTGGAGACAGTAAAGGTTGTTTGGCGTGGTGAATGCAAAACGATGGCGATATTTGTGTGTGTTAGGCCATTAAACTTGGATTGGCTTCTCATGCTTCCAAAATTTTCAATGCTTGAGATTTGGATCAGTACCTTACGGTGCCGCGTAAAGTCATGGTATCAGAGTTCGGTTCCTCTATTATTGTTGAGATATATAGTCCCACATTGGTTGTACGTGCAACTAATGTGGAGTTTATAAGGTCTTGGACACTCTCACTCTTTGAGCTGGTTTTTGGGGTGGTGTATCCCAAGGTTCTTTACAATTATGTCCTCTCGCTAAATTTTCGAATAAGAAAAAAGACGTATCATATTTTCCTTCCAAACAAAGGAATTATCATCCTTCCTCGATATTGTTTTTACGTAGATGCACAGAAGTCTTGATTTTATATTTTTTCTGCCATAAAAATTGCTTCAAATACTAATTCAAATGTAAAACTATTGTGAGATTGAACTGCATGTGAATTCGGATGCAAATATTATAGTTGTGGAATATACTGAGTTGTAAATTATAATATAATTATGAATATTGTAATTGTGGGATTGAGATGCAAATTAAGTTGTAATTATGAGATACGTACTGTAATTAATGTGGAATGTCATAATTGCAGGATTGAATTTGGCTAAAAATATTTAGAGAATATGTTGAGATTAATTTTCGTAAATCCTTATGGGAAAAAAATATCTAATGTCACTTTAGACAATTTTGTCTAATTTTCATTGAAACGACATCGTTTTGAGATTGAAAAATTAAAAAATTAGAATGATAAAGATTATTATAATCCTGAAATAAATTTAAATTATAAATATACTATGGTTTCTCCCCCAAAATGACGTCGTTTCGGAGAATATTAGACAAAATTGTCTAAAGTAACTTTAGAAAAAATAAACTCATTCCTTATAATTCATTATTTGTTTCTTTCTTTTCTTATATATATATATTTTTAATACAAATGAAAATTGAACACATAACTTAATAAAATCTATCCAAATCCCTCATCACTATACCATTCTAGTGGCTTAATTTATTTCCTTATTTTAAGTTCTCAATGTGAACAAGGATTAATTTTTTTTTACTTTTTCCCTCTCTGCACAGGGAACGAATCCTCTCATGTTAAAATTTCATATGATTTGGTAATGTAAAATTTTATATCTCTCTCGTCACATGTATTAAATAGGTGTAATTAATTATCATTAATGAAGAAAAAAATAGACACAAAAATTTCACATGATCATTTTATATAAAATTTTAACATGAGAGAATCTATTTTCCATTGTAGCAAACTCTCAATGATTTCATAAATTATTACCACCCTTCTTATTTATCTATTCATATACTTCCTAATTATCATAATTTTGATTATCTAAAGAATCCTTCATTAACTTGCCTCTTTAATTAGCCATTTTATATAATTATTTACATATTTAAATTTTAAATATGTAATTAATTATTAATCAATATAAATTACATATAGCCTTTTATTTTCTCTTTATTTATTTTTAATTAATTTTCATTTATGATTTGGACATAAATATTTTGTTAGTCTCTAATCTATATAAATATATTAATTTACAGTTTTAATCCGTGTAAATTTTGAGTTTTGGTTTATGATGCTTGTTTCATAAAAGTATATACTTTTGGTCTTTGTGGTTATCATAAATTTGTCCAACAAATTGATAACTCACATTTGCCACGTGTCTCGTATCATAATTAAGCACACCAAATTCTGATTTTAGTCCCTTTATTTTGATACGTGTTCCTTATTTTTTAAAAGTAAATAATTTTTATCCTTGCCACATTCCCCAAAAATTTCACGGATATTTTCATCAATATAAAGATGGAACTTTCAGTAATTATAGGAATATTGAAGGTATTTTCGTGGACAAGAAACTAGTGAGGATTTTGAGCAAATTTCTCGAATCAAATTCTGACAACTATGGTGGGTTTATCTTGGATTTGTGCTCTACCTTCACATTCATGAAAAAGGCCCGCGGACTTTGATTGTTATTTAATTACTTTTATAATTATATTTTGTACAAATACTTTTATCCTAATTAAACGAGCTTATTAAAATAATTTTTAAAGCGCATAAATTGTTTTGAACTTAATGTTAATTACAAACTATAAATTAAAATTCTCATGGAGAAGTCTTTGCAAAATATAAAAATAATTTAATATATTTTATTCATACGATAATTAATTTATTTTAAACAACCTTTTATAACTGGAACTTGTTTAACAAGTTCTAATAAAATAAAAATTATATATTAAACTTATTAATGGAAATAGATCCTAAGTCATGGCCTTCTTAAGTGCAGCTGCCAATTCATCGTAGGCTACTTCCCAAGCATTGCTCAGTTCATCACTCCATTTGTCGCCCACTGCTTCCTTTATTGTTTTCAGCAGGGCTTCTTTAACCACCTGTAAATCATTAACATTTGTCATTGGTTTACCTATGATATTTTTTTATATAAAACTTCCAAAAATTAGTAACACTGTATATTGATATCATCATTATCTCATCTAATTATTTGTATTTATGAATTTCTATGTTTACTATAATTAAATATGAATAGATAGATAAAAATATAATCAATTGGCGCTTAGCTTGAAAACGATATTCAGATAATCAGTGAAGGAGTCATAATAAATAATTTGTGACATTTAATAGATAACAAAGGGTGTTAATAACCTCATCCTAAAATAAATATATCATGATTTAGCTTAAATATTTATTTCCATTGTTTATGCCATAATGTAAATTAACGAAAAATGAGATGATCATTACACCGTGTAAAATTTAATTAAGAAAGCATCTATTGCAACTGGTTATTATTAATCATACCAGGAAATGGGGATCAATGACTCCTTTCTGGATATGGACAGAAGCCAAATGCTTTAGTGTGGCATCTGGCACCACTACTGCTCCTTTTGCTCGGAGTTGAACGGCAGAGTCAAACGTCTATAATGATAGGAAAATATCATATGACAAGGGAGTCATGACAATAAAAAATTATAAATAATAATCAAGAAACACTAATAGGATATGATAGTACTATTACTAATATATACGAGAATCCGATAATATTTATTAAGTAAGATATTAAATCATATTAAAAAATTTAGCTTAAATGTCTTTCTAATTATTTAAAGAAAATAAAATAGAGGCTAAAATGTCATGTTAATTTAGGATTTTCAATTTGTAATTAATTAAGAAAATTATTTTATAATTTAGTATTTTTTAAACTACGTTTTCGGAAATTTGTTTTTGCGATATATATTGAAAAAAATTCTTAGCCTAACCATTTTTTGGACTAATTAAAAACATGTGCATTTAATGTTTTTGGGCGAAATTTTAAAAATAATAAAAATATAAAATAAAAATTAGAAAATATTCATCGAGATATATATATATATATATTGGATACATGGGAAAATAAATTCATCGATATTCTAAGAGCATTGGATGCATATACACGTCTAACAATATACTTGTAGAGCAATAAAAAAAATAAAATAAAAATGTAACCATGCAAAATAGCTATAATTTTAGGCTAGAGTGGATTTACCATCTCGAAAACCTTTTCAGCATGAGCCTTGAGCTTAGGATCATTCTTGGGTACTTCAGCAGAGTCCTTTAGAAAGGAGAACATGCCCTTTGCTGCCGGTGCTTTCTCCAATATACTATTTTCAATCAAACCATGCCATGACCAAATTAAAAGAGATTCACGCTCACAATATCTCTTTCCAAAACACAACAAACAACTAAAAGAAAAACCACAGAGTGAGCTAGAGACACAT